CCGAGTGGAAGTTCACTAGGAAGACAGAAGCAAATAGGAAGCAGTGGAGGGTATTTCTGGAAGATGGTACAGCATGTACGAAGGCACGAAGGTGTGATGCATGTGCTCTGGTCAGGTAACAGAGAAAAGGTCTATGTGCTGGGAAGAAAGGTGTGTGCATGGGTGGAAGAAGGTTAAGGCCAGAAAGGAAGCGAGGGAGACGACATGATTGGAACAGGGTATTTTAGAGTGAACAATCTACATTGCAGAAGGTTGCAGGAGGGTGGCGAGATGAAACCAAGAGGTGGCTGTGTGCAAAGGTGGAGGTGCACCTGGATAGTTAGGGAGAGCTCAGGAAGGGATTGTCAGCATGAGAATGAACTTGAAACTAGTGGATTCCATCAGCTCTCCCGGGAAAAGGACAGATGAAGAAACGGAGGACAAGGACAGCCCTGGGAAGCATCAGTGCACAAGGCAGGAGCCACCAGAGGAGAGCAAAGTGCCTGCGGCCTCTAGCCACCCTCCTGCAGATGGTCACTGGCAAAGCCTGAACAAATGGTGGGGGTGTTTCTCTTCCTCCCAGTGCCTGTGTCCCCTTCTCAGTCTCGCTTTCCTTCCTCCCCTCCCTCCTCTTCCTTCCCCTCGCCTCTCCCTCCGAGGGACGTCTCGATGAGCAGAAAGCCCCCACTGGGACTCTGCTTCCCCAGGACCTGCCTGGGTTGGAGCATGTGTCCGGATGGCAAAGGTTTCCTGCAAAGACTGACTTTCGGAAGCTCCCCGGGGGCCACCGATCTTGACCACCACTCATTTGCTATAACTGGTCCAAGCATTTTGACTAATGCAGTGACCACCTAGACCTCCCAGATGGGGTGAAAGTGGCAAGAAGTGAGGGCTCCCGCACTTCCGCAGCAAGGACCAGGTGCATCTGATGGTTGTGAGAGTCCAGCCATCAGGGGCACCAATATTGGACAGTACCTCCTGGCCTGGCCAAGCTGGACAATCTGGGCCATACCCAGCAGGCAACCCCTGATCTTCTGAGACCAGGGCAAAGCTTTTCAGTGTTGCCAACCCAGCCACCCGCCTCACCTTGGGAAACAAGAGAAAGCCAAGGCACCCCTCAGCTTTGGGATTCCTCAGGAAGACCTCACCTTGAAGAAAACTCAGAGGGTCCAGCACCAGCCTGGACACACTGGGCCCCACCCTGTCCAACCTCCTTAGGCCAAACACAGGAGAGCCCCGCAGAGCCAGGTCAAGAGCGTTCTCTTAGGGCAGACCTTCTCTGTGACATCTGACCCTCATCTGACTGAGGGGCCATTCTGTTCTCAGAAGAGAAAATACCAATAGCCCAGGGGAGAGGCAAGAGGGAGGGTTCAGAGCTTCAGGCTGGGTGTACGGCCGGGGATGCCTCCCCATGCAGCCTCCCCTTTCAGGTTTCCCAGCCATAAAGTGGTGGTAATATCTCCGGTGCAGGGTTATTGGAGACCCAGCAAGGAGTTCAGAATGTGGTGGCTCCTCCACTCACAAGAGCAATGCCAAGACCAGTACAATCCAGGCATTCACACTGTCGCTCTGGATTCCTTGGAGAGCCTTCCGACGCGTGGGCATTTAGAGCCCCCTCCTGCTAGTGGCTTCCTGGATCCCTAGCTGTGTGACCTTGGAAAAGCCCCTTAACCTCTCTGTACCTTCATTAGATGCTCAGGGACTGAGTAAATGTTCATGTAGTCAGGTGTGGGCAGAGGGATGGGAGGCAATGGCAGGGTCCACTGGAGAGGGCACCAAGGCCCAGGGGAGGCTGGGGGAGACTGGGAGACCACCCTACTGAGTCCCTCATGGATCTCCACTCCCCTTGCTCTCCGTGGTGAGGTAAATAAAGGAAGGCGGTCCATATGGTAAATTGGCCCCTAGGAAAGGCCCCAGGGGCTTCTGACAGGGCCCAGCCTCTTCCGTATCCCCATCCCTGTGGCTCTCTCTCTATTCCTTCATCAGGAGTCTCTCTCTCTCTCTTCTGGAGCTTAGAGAATCAACTATCTCCACAAGGTGAACTTGACCCATTGTGGGCTGTGGCATTTTTATAGTCATATGCCTGGGCATGTGTGTCTGCTTATGTCTGTGTGTACAATCCAGCAGTCTGCGTCTGCCCCAGGCGATTTCTTCATACTTCCTGCTCCCACCTCTCCTGCCTTGAACAACAATGACAACCAACAATTATATCACACTTCCCATGCCCCAGGCACTGTTCTAAGTGCTTTATCTGTGATAGTACAATCCCATATGGTAGACCAGTGATGGCGAACCTTTTGAGCTCAGCGTGTCAGCATTTTGAAAAACCCTAACTTAACTCTGGTGCCATGTCACATATGGAAATTTTTTGATACTTGCAACCATAGTAAAACAAAGATTTATATTTTTGATATTTATTTTATATATTTAAATGCCATTTAACAAAGAAAAATCAACCAAAAAAATGAGTTCGCGTGTCACCTCTGACACCCATGTCATAGGTTCGCCATCACTCTGGTAGACAGTACTATGTATTGCCATTTTATAGCAGATGAGGAAATCAAGGCACAGAGAAGTTAAGTAGCTTCCTCAAGATCACACAGCTAGTAAATAGCAGAGGCAGGTTCACATGCAGGCAGTCGGACCTCAAAGTCTGTGCTTTTTACCTCCAAGGTACACAGCACCCTGAATGTAGAAGGCCTGCAGCCCTCAGAGGTGGGGTCCCACCCTCCCAACTCCCACCCCATCACGGGGCAGGTTGCTGAAGTAGGACAGCCACAAGCAGTGAGGGTGGGGGCCACCCTTCTAGACACACTGAGGCACAGCTTCAAAGAGCCAGCCTGAGCAGAACAGCCCAGGAAATAGCCACACAGGCATGTCAGCGAAGAGGCTGCAGACTTGGAGCTGGGTTGCCTCACAGTCCACACGGTGACAAGCTCTGCAAATAGCAGCCAGAACCACGGGACTAAAGAAGAATCTCATGTGTGCACAGTTTGGAAAGGACATAGAGAGACAACAGTTGTCCATAGGAGCACCGTCTTTAAATAGAAAAGAGCCTGAAATACACCCTGAGCGCTCCCCCCACCACCCCCCCCCACACACACACACACATACACTCCACCCAGGGCCAGCTAAGTGACTGAACAAATGCCTTAGCTGTGCCGGTGGCGAGGGGAGGAAACCTAGTGCCCTGGCAGCTCCTGACTTTCTGTTCCTATTTAAACTGTCTGAATTGGGAGCATCGACAAGCTCCCAAATTAGCTTTTTAAATAGAAGCTGAGAGTTAAAGGAAAAGCGGCCGTGTCATGGGGGAAAAGCAAGTGAAAATCCCGGCCAGGCCAGGCCAGAGGCAGAGAGGGGGGAGGGCGAGGCCCCTGGAAGGAAGCAGGGGAGGCAGGAGCCAGGGAGGGAGGAGGGCCCATCTCCTGGGCAAGGCCTCCCGCTGTCCCAGTCAAGGGCCTCCCTTCTGCCCCTCACTTGCTCTCTCTCATTTTCCAGGTCACCTGGTTGTGAGAAGGGCCGTAAATAAAACCCAAGCTGGCCTAGAGTAGGAATTCAAATCTTTCATATTTTCCTGTAGATTTTTCTCAACAGAAAGGAGAATATAATCTACAGATAGTTCACTTAAACGATGAGATGTGAGCCTGGGAGGAACGGGGCC